TAGAAAGTCTGGGTAAATAACATTAACAACTTCTTAGTGACACACCAGATAGAATTAAGTTTAAAACATAAAAGATTAAAGCAATTTCATTAAAATCAAATGGTTAGAAAAAAGCCATATTTTTCGACACTGTCTAGTGTCTTCCTTCGTAATAACTGGGTGTTGTGAATCTATGTAAGTGATTAGATACTGTTATATCACAGTTTTATTGAAACTGTTTTAACCTTAATTTTGTCTGGTTTGTCAGTAAAACGTTGTTAATAGTTAAGAACACAGTCTACTTTGCCACAGTCTTTTAACCCCTGTTTCAAATTTGTATTAGCAATTGATTTTTGGAAGCATCACAACACCAGAGCATGTCAGCTATATTGTCTAATTAAACTATTTAATAGAGAGACCTTGAAAATGGAAATTATTTAATTTTTGGATCGTTAAACCACAATTTTAATTCCACTACAACAGCTTTCGCCTGAAATCTTTATTGACAGACAGTAAGGTTTACTTTAAAGTTTTCGCGTAAGGCTACACAAGGGCTAATTGCATATAGCCGTCCCTACTTTTGAATTGATAAACTAAAGGAAGACAGCTAGTCAACAGCGCTCACAGCCAACTCTTGTATAACAGAATATTTGAATTTGGCCGTCATTTTAATAACGCATCCACGGTCCCAAAGTGTAAAGCACGTTTTAGCGACAACGGGATGTGAGCCACGAATCTTTAGATTCACAGTCAGGGTACGTTAATCGCTCAGGCCACGCCACGGATTGATGTAGTATTGCCTACATTATACATGATAACATCACCGATTGTGTGTTCGATTATGTTTATGATCAAGTGTATAATCCGACTAGACTAAAGCTCACGACACGAGTTTGTTACAGTTTTCCAGCCAAGTAATGCACATGTTGTCTAACCAACCAACCAATGCTCAACATTAACGCCCCTTGGAAACAGTTTGCTCCCATTAAACTAACTGTTGTATTGCAGAATGTGTTTACCGTAACCATGGTGACAAACCCTCTCTGTCTCCTCTTGTCTCGGTATATTTTCATCCCTGTTTTTAGAAGGCATTCAGTGCGAGAGAGAACAAGGGAAACAGGTGTTCAGGGAATGATAGTATACTTGTCAGTTTTTATATCACGTAAAAAAGTACACGACATTACGTAAACAAGTACACGACATTCACAAATGGTTTGGATACACTCAAAATTGGAACTAATTCTTCGGACATTTCTAAATTTTCTCCTTAGTAATTCCGAGGAATAAATCAGAAGAGATAATGCTATACATTCTTCAAGTCCTACATAAACGTACGTTTATTGTGGTGACTAAAGACGGCCAAAAACACAGTACATATAACATACCTTCTGACTGTACAGTCTGTGGAGCGTTTAATTAGACAAGTATAAACCCGTTTACGTTACAGGTTACTTATCAAACCTCAGTGTTTAAATAAATTGCAAAGGGATATTTTTAACTCTGTAGAACAATCTTGAACCAGTTTTGCTTTACTTAATAATTGTCACAGTGTAAAGTCATAAACACAAGAAAACGGCGAGTCCCCTATAAAGCAAGTTTTAGGCCTATAAATTTATTTATGAAAAATGCCTCTAATAATTACAGAGATTATCAACAGCATATTTATTGCAATCGATCTCTAAGTTTGTTATATAAATCTACAGTTGAAGATGTATTTCTTTAGTTTAACCGTATCTAAAGTAAGGAAATGTTTTGCATATCAAGTAAAAAATATATAAACACTAAATCTTCATATTAAAATCATCTGAATATACTGAAATATTTTTCTTTATAAAGCTGTCTTAGTACGAAACACCATAGCACTATTGATAATACACGTTATTAGTAGGCTTCATTAGTTATCGTTTGTGAATTTTTTAAAATATTTTTTGAGTGAATAAGAAGCTCTGAAAACTCAATGGGCATTTCTTAAAAACCTAATTCTACGTTCACCACTGACGAAATAATATTGAAAAAATCAAAAATTAGTGTACGTGCATAAAAACGAATTTTAAATTAGATTTAGCAAATAGTTCTCTGTTAAAATAAAAATTCAATATAAAACAACTTTGCTAATGGTGCAAATCTTAAAATGGAATACTTAAGCAAGAAATAAATACATAATCTCTACCACAAAGATACCATTGTGAACACACAGTCTACATAATCTCTACCACAAAGATACCATTGTGAACACACAGTCTACATAATCTCTACCACAAAGGTACCATCGTGAACACACAGTCTAAATAATCTCTACCACAAAGGTACCATCGTGAACACACAGTCTATATAATCTCTACGATGGTACCTTTGTGGGTGGTAGAGATTGTGGGTATACGATGGTACCTTTGTGGTAGAGATTATGTAGACTGTGTGTTCAAAAGGTACCATAGTGAACACACAGTCTACATAATTTCTACCACAAAGGTACCGTCGTGAACACACATTATACATAATCTCTAGTACTAAGAAAAAATCGTGATACACACATTCTATATAATCTCCAGTACAAAGGCGACATCGTGAACACACAGTTTACATAATCTCTATTACAAAGGTATCGTCGTGAACACACAGTATACGTAATCTCTAGTACAAAGGTATCATCATGAACACAAAGTATATATTTTTATATTTAGCTAAAACGGTTAAAAAATGTTGTTACCTGTTATACCAGCTACACAAAAAACATATATAGTTTTATATCTATCATAATTGTGTGAAGAGTTTACTTCTGCTAATGTAATACTTAAAAAAATAGAATTCCAATAAACTTATAAACCTAAAATAGTTACTTGTTTGTATTTGTTGCAAAACTGCGTATGCATTTTAGTATAAAACACGCCTAGCAATTCTAACGACTTTGTACTTTGATTTTTTTAAATAAAAACAAAAAAAGTTGTAAAACAACCCAAAAACTTTAAAAAGAGCTCTTGAGGAAGAATGTTATCCACTCACAAAAGACTATTTTTTAAAATCGTGAAAACAATCTACATGAACAAAGAATGTTTTAAGGATGTGAATATTATGTACTACGTGAAATATCCAAAGGCTGAAAACGGCAGTAATCAAATAAATACTGTTCTGCTAAGCTTTAAAAAAAATAAAAATATCAGAGAAGATTTTTCACTTCAAGGGAATACATATAATCTTAAAGCTTGCAAATCAGATAAAAACATTCATGTTAAGTAATTATACCAATTATAATAACCTGAAAAGTCTGAGGGAAATGTTCACAAAATGTAACTATACCGATTCTCATGAACTTAGAAACAGGCTACGGGAGAAGTATTGTTCTATTGTGATAAGCAAGTTACATTTCTTACAGTAGCAAGTGTGGTGAGAATCTCAATAAAAACTGGACAAACTTGTACGTTTTATAATAAGATATATTCAACAAGAACAGTCAAGACTAACTACGCCCATTTCTTGTATTATATTTCCATAACGAGCAACTGAAACCACGTCAAAAAACAAACACATAAAGATTTGATTCACAATAAAAGACCACGTTTTTTTAAATTATTGAAAAATGAGAAAGCTTTCTGTCATTTTCATAACAGAGATAAACACAGACTTACTTGAATTGTCTCTTCTTGCGTCTGCTCCGATGACACAATGTTTGCTTAGAGTATGCACAGTGTGTATTCTCAGATCTCGTGCACAGACTATAAGCTTGTGTCTCTGACTCACGCGCTCCTCGCACTACGTTAGTAAAGTTACTTCTTCCTTTTCCTGGACCAATGCTCAGCCATTTTACCCTACACCATTTTATATGAAGGGCGGGAAGGAATGATGTCACACTGCATTTCTGTTATTGGTCAATAGTTAACCGAGCGTCTTGACTATTGGTCAGATAGCAAGACGGAGTACAAACTAGCATGGCAATGGATCAAGGACTTCTCTATCGGAAGATTTCATCCAGTGAAACTGTCACTATAGAAAAACTTCTCAATGCAAAATATACTAGTGAGGGTGCCCTTGCCCCTGGGAGGCGTTTTCTCTCTCTCTCTTTTTTAAATCCAGAAGTGTACATGCTTTATTCCTAGCTTAACCTTGATATATGCGCTACAGGCAATAAAACAAGTAAGCTGTTGGAACTGTTTTCTATTGTTTATTATACGATATTAATTGCATACGTTTTGTTTTTTTAGGTATATCTTATTACGGAAACAAATTGTTAAACAATTACCTATATATCATCTTATAGAAGCCCTTAGGGTTATTTCGTGTTTTATTTTTAGTTTAAATGGTAAGCGATGCGTTCTGACTTTTCTGTTTATCAGTGGCGTGTGAATTCATATAACTAGCAAACAGTAATGTAGTAGTGGAAAACACGTGGATAAGTAAACATTTTTGGTGGGGGAGGTTCAAGTGTTGGTGGTGGCATGGTAGGCCTAAGACAAAAAAACGAGAAGTGGTAAACGCCATATTCTTCAAATGAAGAATTTTCCAAATGCGATATTATCCGAGTGAAAAGTGGTAAACGTCTTATTCTCCAAAACAAAAGTGGTAAGCGTCACATTCTCCGACTGAGATTTGAGCAAACGCCATGTTCTCCAAACGAGAAGTGGGAATCGCACTTCTCCACATTTACGGTCGGCTACGCCATTGCTAGCATAATATATGTGCAATTTGTACTGGACTAATGACTTCTTTTCAAGCCTTCTGTTTTTATTCACAATCATTATACCTTCTGAAATAACATTGGATAAAGTATCGATAACATATTTTTCTGGTTTTCAAACTATGCATAACTTCCCACAAGTTGTCTCATTGTTTACTAGAGGTTTTTTTTTACAACTGATACTGCATATTTTATTTAAATTTTGGCTACTGTTTCGATTAGTATCATTGTGATAGTTAGTGATTCAACCCAATGTAATGGGTTATATACTAAACTTTTCAACAATCATAAACTGGTTTTCACTAATTAATCACGTGGGTCAAGTTGTGTTCGAAATTTTGCCAATGATCTTAAAAACAAATGGTAGTCCAGTTGCACGAGAATTTTGTATAAAAATGTCATAAGAGAAAACTAGTTCACAAATACCATGTTTAACAAAGCATGATGTGAGTATAACTCGAAGTAAATAAATTTTTATACATTGCAATTAACCTGGTGTTCATAACTCCGCTTAACGCACTGCAATAAACCTGGTGTTCATGTACGACAACTCCGCTTAACGCACTGCAATAAATCTGGTGTTCATGTACAACTTCGCTTAACGCACTGCAATAAACCTGGTGTTCATGTACGATAACTCCGCTTAACGCACTGCAATAAACCTGGTGTTCATGTACGACAACTCGGCTTAACGCACTGCAATAAATCTGGTGTTCATGTACAACTTCGCTTAACGCACTGCGATAAACCTGGTGTTCATGTACGATAACTCCGCTTAACGCACTGCAATAAACCTGGTGTTCATGTACGACAACTCGGCTTAACGCACTGCAATAAATCTGGTGTTCATGTACAACTTCGCTTAACGCACTGCGATAAACCTGGTGTTCATGTACGATAACTCCGCTTAACGCACTGCAATAAACCTGGTGTTCATGTACGACAACTCGGCTTAACGCACTGCAATAAATCTGATATTCATGTACGACAACCACCGTTAACGTGCTGTAATAAACGTGGTGTTAAGGTGTATCAGGTAGTGGACATGATAACAAAATAAATTATAATGTAAATATATATTCATTGTATTTAAAGTGTAACTTGGATAATTTTTGGTCATTATAAAGTACTACACGTACTGGTGTCTTGTCACCATGGCATGTTTTTCTTCATGGTGTCATTACGACAAGACCAAGTGTGGCCCACTGATTAGCGTGCTGGTCTATGGGTCTGCGGGCCCATCTTACGTGTCCTGTTACCGCAAAATAATAATGATAATAACTTTGAAACCATGAATGCTTTTTATAGATGAAATACAAATTCCACTATTCGATCAAACAAGAGTAGTCCAAGAGTTGGAAGGGGAGTGTTGTTAACTAGCTGCCCTTTATCAGTCCAGAAAGTCCTTGAGTACCTTTGCGCAAATATTAAAAAACAAACAAATAACCATTGTGACAAAGGGGTATTTATGGCAGGCTACTTTTGATGTTACGATACCACTACATCCACTCCAGTGTGACATATCATGACGACATTTCACAGAGACACTTTGGTAATGGCTTCACGTCATTAAGATTCACCAGTAGGAATGTTTCATCATTAAGACACAACGAGAGTGCTATACTTTCATGAAGAGAAGCTGGTACCGATGTCATGTCATTATAACATGCTGTTAGTGATGTCAGGTTGTTAAACCACGATGAGAGTGGTATAATTTCATTAAGGGACGCTGGTAGCGATGTCATATCATTAGAACATGCTGTTAGTGATGTCAGGTTGTTAAGGGCTCTCATCGTGGTTAATGAAATTATACCGGGACGCTGGTAGCGATGTCATATCATCATAACTTCATTACGACACAGTGAGAGTGGTACCTATATAATTAAAAGAATAATGTGTATGTGTGCGTGGGAAGACTTTTAAATATGTAACAATACTGATCATTCCATCACCTTGTTTCTTTTATATCATATGATAGGCGAATGATTGATATAGTATTTGACAGTATTAACCATTTAATTTTCATGTTCTATATAATAGGTGGATGACTGGTACAGTATTTTCAAAGCTGTTGTAACTATCTATATAATTAAAATAGTAACACGTGTGTTTGTTTAAACTATGCAAAAATAAGATTAGGGGTAGAGAAGTACAAACGACGTCCCCATAGACGTAAGGGAGGGATGGGCGTATATAGTACTATGTATTACAACGTGAAAGGTATTTGGAGAATGGATCCGTCAGAGTCCCATCTCAGACAGCAGTTAAGGTTTTGTTTATAGGCACCTAGAATACCGGTATCGTCACCCTGTTGAATTTCAATACTTGTCCCCGATGCCCAGGTTTTGAGAGCGTCACTAGTCTATCTGTTGGTCATTTTTGATTGCACCATTCGGCTCAAAGTGTCTTTTGTATTAAAGGTGCTTGGTGAGTATCACGTATTGTGGAACAGCTTTATCCTCGCAGTCACTGAGACGTCCCGCACGGCCATCGGATTCGTTTAGAACTCTACTTACCTAACACCTTGTGCGCGTCACTTAACCGTTCAAAATTACTTTAAATGCACAACACTGCCGTCGGATTCGTTTAGAACTCTACTTACCTAACACCTTGTGCGCGTCACTTAACCGTTTAAATTACTTTAAATGCACAACACTGCCATCGGATTCGTTTAGAACTCTACTTACCTAACCCCTTATGCGCGTCACTTAACCGTTTAAATTACTTTAAATGCACAACAATGCCTTTACATTTTATAAACTTGGTACATTCAAATACAAAATACCACAACCAAAAATGTTTCGTACGCGAAGCGCGAGTTTTCAATCTAGTAATTTCATTAAGAGACACTGGTAGTGATTTTCCCGTATTATGAGACGCTGTTAGTGATGTCATTTCATTGGAAGAAAAGTTGAGAATGATGTTATATCATTAAGAGACGTCAGTGGTGATGTCATTTCATTAGAGAAACGCAGGGAATGATGTCATATCATTAAAAGACGTTAGCAGAGATGTCATTTCATTAAAGAAACGCTTGTGACATTGTGTCATCAAGACATGCTGGTAGTTATACATTTCATTAACACGTTCGTGTAATGGTATTATACGCTGATTGTGATATTATATCTTTAAGATGCGCTGCTAGTGATATCATTTCATTAAGAGACTCTAGGAGTGATATCATTTCATTAAGAGACTCTAGAAGTGATGTTATTTCATTAAGAGACTCTCGGAGTGATGTCATTTCGTTAAAGAAACGTTGGGAATAATGTCATCTCATTAGGAGACGTAGGTACTGCAGTAATGTTATTTCGTTAAAGAAACGTTGGGAATAATGTCATCTCATTAGGTGACGTAGGTACTGCAGTAATGTTATTTCATTAACACTTGTGTGTAATGATATTGTATCATTAGGAGGGGCTGTGAGTAAATCGTGTTATTAGGACATATGTATTGATGACACATCAATAAAACACACAGGTATTGTGATTGGTGTGCAGTGTTTTTTTGTAACAAACATTTTTAAAAAGGACCGCCTACAGAATGTAGTTGGAAAACCCGAAGTCCTACAAATAACTTGCAGAGATTTTTGCATGTAACTTGACTTACGGAGTAATAACATATGTCATAATAGACACTTTAAGAAAACATAAGTGAAGTACTGATGTATTCTAAACGTTCTACATTCCCATCCTTTCGCTGCATTTTTGGTACATGTTTTGTTACTTTATACTCTTGGGGTGTGAGTTTTCATTCTTTCACCAAGATGAGGGTGTTGCTGTTGAAATCAAACCCCAATCACATCTTTAGTTTTTAAAATGTCCTGAAAAGTACGACAACGTTTCTAATCTTTTATCTTCTTTATTAGACTTAATAACTAATGACAGTTTCGAACCCTGCATAACTAACTCGGTGGCACAACGGTAAGCTTAAGAGATTATAACGCTAAAATTCAGGATTCGATTCCTGGATAGGCACAGCGCGGATAACCCATTGTACAGCTTTGAGCTTAAACAAACAAGTGGTTACTTATTCTTATCTCAAATAAATGTTTTTAGTATTCCTGAACTGAGTACAAAAGA